ACGTGTTTCTGGGCGGAGTTGGTTTCGCGCGGGCGGGGCGTCCCTGTCTGTTCGCGGTGTCCATCCCTCGATCGTCGCTCTCGGGTCCCTCGGGCCGCCCCAGGCCTCGACATGTCGTACAATTACGTAGTAACGGCGCAGAAGCCCACCGCCGTCAACGGCTGTGTGACCGGTGAGATGGCCGGGTGCCCTGGAGAGCCGGAGCTGGAGGGACCGAGGCCTAGGAAGGCCCGCGAACCCAGGCGGCGGAAGGTAGGCATGGGGCGCGCGGCCTGCAGCTCCCCGGCCCCGACTTCGAGGGAGTGGCCCTCGCGCGCTGGGGGGGGATCGAGGAACTGCTCTCGCGGGTCCCCTTCGTCCTAGGAGGTCACTTGGCCTCCGGGGCGGGTCGCCCATGGTGCCCAGCACGCGTGTGAGCTGTGTGCGCGGCGCTGCTAAAGCCCCCAAATTGGCCTGTGGTCATAAGAGGCGGTGGCGAAGGGATCAGAATTTAACGTCTGGGAGCCGGGGTGGGGGGCCAGGAGGTGGAGGAATGTGAGCTTGCCCCCCGACACTTAGGAGGGACTGGAGTGCTTTCTTGACCCACCCTTTCCCTGGAGCTGTTTACCCTGGAGGACAGGGCTGTTAGCCTGGTCCTTGCCGGGTTTGCCTTGTTATGCGCGAGCATCCTTAAGGACCGGGAGGCCCCAAACGGGAGAGTATTCATCCTGATCTCACCTTCTGAGTTGATTATGCAGCCCCCAGACCTTTGTGTTTATGTAAATCATAATCGGGATTGCAGAGCAGAAGTCTGTTCTGAGACCTGTGGGAGGCTTAGAATGGTAGGGGTAGATTGCTGGGAGGGGAAGAGGTGTGGCGGAAATAAGGAAAACTCAGAATTTCTTCTTTTGACTTGGCCTATTTGGCAAGTGTTCTTGTGAGGCTTTGGGTGAGGACTAGAAGAAATGAACACTTCCTTTAGCATCCTCAGTTACACTCAAGTAAAATTTAACAATCATCCTTAAGGTTTTCGCAGTCACTTGTCAAAGGACACACTACTCTCAGGTCTCCAGTCTAGTTTTCTCAGTCTGACTATGGAAGCAGCTCTGTTGAATGCATGAAGTGAGACCCTTCAAGGTGCCAGATTTGGCAAGAAGAAATAAATGGAGAGAGTCAGGGAATCTGCCAAATAGATGAGAATTCTGGAGGTATTTAGGTAGGCAGTGATAGGGTTGATGTGTAAGGGCTTGTGGGGGACCTTTCCTCCAGCTTTAAAAGTTAGAGGATCTTTTCTTTTAGGGCACTTTACTTCAGCAGAAGACTTGAACCTGTTGATTGCCAAAAACACAAGATTAGAGATCTATGTGGTCACTGCCGAGGGGCTTCGCCCAGTCAAAGAGGTGGGCATGTACGGGAAGATTGCTGTCATGGAGCTTTTCAGGCCCAAGGTAAGTGTTTCCCCATTGGGACGGCTGTTGGTCGTAGGTTGTTTTACATGCTCGCTTAGGATGGATGGCATAACGCTTAGTAGAGGGAGGAACTCCTCTTTTTGAGTGGCAGATTTCTGTACCTACTCTTCCTAAACAAATGTTGAGAGGTAGGAAAGATTTCTTAGGGGAAATTTTACCAAGTTGACTTTTCTGGGAAGAAGTATGAAAGCAGTTTGAAATGTGGCTCACCACAGTACCTAGTGATTGAGAGGGTAGCAAACGGGGTAGGCTTTGCTTCACTCCTTAATTCTCACATTAGGTGTCACTTTGGTTGTCACACGACACCGTTTAGAGCCTTGATTTGTCCATCTTCAAGGTGGGAGTGTCTGATCCCCTTGAGTTCTTGTAAATATTAAATGATTTAGTAATGTAACCCAGTACTAGCAGATACTCACTGTTAACAGTTTCCATCATGAGCATTTATCATGGTAACTCAAATGTTTCTGTCCAGTTAACATCCGCTTTGCTTCATTGTATCTGAAATCAATCTAACAAAAAAGCATTGGGACTAGCTGTTTCATTATAACTCTTTCAACGAAGCACTCAGGTTTTTGCGGTCAGTGTTAAATAAGACTTTGAGGATCCATTGTATCTTTCACTGTTAGTACATTTTTTCCTTTCTCCAAATACTTGGAGAGGAAGGAGACAGGCGTTAGATTCATCTTTCAGAATTTAAATGGCATGATGGTGATTTGCTTCATCAAAATAGGTGAAGGCCCAGAGCTGGAGAGTCGAGAGTGAAGACTAGCTGTTTACCAGCTTTAGTTCTGGCCTTTGGTACATTCCCTTAGGGCGTGTGTGTGGCTGGGGAACTCACCAGGCAATGTATTTTCTTTTTCAGGAGAGGAAAAAATATTTGGAATATTCTTAAAGAGTTTAGCATGCTTAAGGAATGATCCTTTAAGGTAGGACAGGTTGTTCCTGTTTCTGCAAGACCGTCTTGATGGCATAATTTTGGTTTCCAGGGGGAGAGCAAGGACTTGCTGTTTATCTTGACAGCAAAGTACAATGCCTGCATCCTAGAGTATAAGCAGAGTGGTGAGAGCATCGACATCATCACCCGAGCCCATGGCAATGTCCAGGTGAGGCAGCTACTCTTACTGAGGGTTTCCCAGGAAGGGTGAAGTGTGATTCAGTGGTTCAGTGAAAAGCCCTGGGGTGTCAGGGCATCGTGATCAGAGAAACAAGGAGAAAACACATACAATCATTGAGTTCAGTGTTGCACAGAAATGTATACGTGCGGGTGTCGGCTTCTTGGCACAGCGAGCGGATGCCACCAGTTTTACCACCTCTCCTAAAGTCATCCTGGGGATGTGTCCTCTGTTACTGTGTGGGTATCGAGCCTCTTTCCTAATCCCCGTTTTGTTTCTCAGGACCGTATTGGTCGCCCTTCAGAGACTGGCATCATTGGGATCATTGACCCTGAGTGCCGAATGATCGGACTTCGACTCTACGATGGCCTTTTCAAGGTCATCCCACTAGATCGGGACAACAAAGAGCTCAAGGCCTTTAACATCCGCCTGGAGGAATTGCATGTCATTGATGTTAAGTTCCTGTATGGTTGTCAAGCACCTACCATTTGCTTCGTGTACCAGGTAACGAGATCAGGAGAGTGGAAGAAACTGGTTAGGGCTGATGGGTTGGGTTTCCACTAACAGTGTCTGCTTTTGGTGGTAGGGTTGGGAGAGGGCCAGAGGGAATTTTGAATGCTTGTGTCCTGAAACGTTTTAAACAATGCAATTAATGCAGGTCCTGCTCTGGTTGCTTTCTGAATGCTGTAGTTCTTATCGAGGTGAGGGACTTTCTGGGGCTTGTAGCAAGCTTAATCCTGAGATTACCCCCTGCTTGTAAGGCCTTGGAGATTTTGTTTGGTGACCCAGTTTATACTTTGTCTGAGTCTCTTACTGGCATGCGAGGGGGTTATGGAAACTTGGCTTTAGAGAAGCGATCTAGAACTTGACTTTATAAGCACAGAAAAATGTCTGTTGTTGTCTTCACCTAAGAAGATGTGTCTGTGTTTTGTCTGGCATTTGGTTTCTGGAGCCTTGCTGGCTCCTGGCTTCTATTTTAGTCTGTCTGAAGCTTTTATTTATTTAATTTTACTTTATTTATTTACTTTTGGTTTTTTGAGACAGGGTCTTACTATGTAGTTGAGACTGATCTGGAACTCACTATGTAGCCTAGGCTGATCTCGAACTCACAGAGCTCCTCCTGCCTCAGCCTCTGGAGTGCTAGGATTATAGGCGTGCGCCCCCACGCCCGGCTTGTCTGAAGCTTTTGGTCCGGATCTGCTCAGTGGGGCTGGGGGGCTCCAGACTGACAGCCAGGATCTTGGTGAAGTCTCAGCCTTTTGACAGGGGCCAATCAGCATGAGTCTGTTTCACTTGTCTGTGGTTGAGTAGCTGACAGAAGAAACGATAGTTCGTAGGACAGTGGCTGTGTACAGTAAGTAGTGCAGGTGCCTGTGTGCTTGTGTGTCTTGGTGTCATCACACATGCTGTGGTCCTGAGGCTGGTGAAAGAAGTTCATTGGGTATGCTGGGGATTTAGCTCAGTGATTTCGCTGCCTGCCTTGCAAGCACAAGGGCCTGAGTTCGATCCCTGGTACCAAAAAGAAAAAAAACACAAAAAGAAGTTCATTGGGTAGAGTTGGAACTCAACTCGATTTGGTTTGATCTTACCAACATTCAGAGTTGGAATAAAAACTTAAAAAGAGTTTCTCTCTCTTCAGTTTTTGGTTTTGAGGCAGGGTCTTGCCATGTAGTTCAGGCTAGCCTTGAACTCGCTAGGGTTACAGGTGCCCAGGCCTCCTTCAGTTTTATAAGCATCAGGTCATTGGAACATGGATGTTATTGAGTACTCGAGGTTGACTGGCCCCAGCCCTAGGGTCTGCTGCTTGTAAACAGATCTCAGTTTCTCTGGGTGGGTCTCAGGCCCGGATTTTGGTGAAGTCATTGCTGGGAAAAATCTTTTCATCACGCTATCTCTGTTGTATGCCAACTATTCAGTTGGACCAGTGTCTCTGTACCTCGGCAGAAGGCGCCATCACAATGACTGAGATGTGCCTCTGCCCCGCGGCATGTTGCGGAATTCCTTCTGTAGAATCCCAGACTCTGGCTGGTCTTTAATGGCGCCATCTTCCTTTGGCGGAGTGCAGCCATATCCCTGTCTGAGAGGTGACTTTGCAGCCCCAGGACTGGTGTGAGCCATCGCTTTGGAAAAGGAGGGGAGAACTCAAAGTTCTGAAGAGGGAGAAGATGGAGAACAGTCTGCAGAGGAGCGCTCTGCTCGCCCCCAGTGTTCGGAGGCATTGTGTCCATTTTTTTAAATCCCTGAAATGGAGCTCCTCAGTGAGTTTTCTCTTTAGCCATTTCATAATTCCTTGGGGCAAGGAATGGACACACAGGCCATACGTCTATCTTCCCATGTCCAGTGCAGTGAGACAGGTCCCTTTTCCCGTGGGAACCTTTCTCAGTTTGTTGCATCGTGAGGCGCACTGGGTCCCAGATGGCAGCAGGCGGTGAGGACAGAGGGAAGGCGGCAGGTCGGGGCGAGCGTGCCTGTCGTCCCTCAGCCTGGGAGTCATCTTCCTAAAATAGCGGCCCACTTCCCCCAGGACCCGCAGGGCCGGCACGTGAAGACCTATGAGGTGTCTCTCCGCGAGAAGGAGTTCAACAAGGGCCCGTGGAAGCAGGAGAATGTGGAGGCCGAGGCGTCCATGGTGATCGCAGGTTGGTTGATCTGGACGTCCTCTACCCCAAGTCTTTTTGCACCCACTTCCTTCCTCTGCCTCGGCGTCAGCTCTGGCTCTGGCTCTGGCTCTGGCTCTGGTTCTGGATCTGGATCTGGCGCGCGTCTTCCGCATCGCCTTCTATCGCCGCCCCCCACGCCGTCTCAGGAGCTCTGTACTTGCTCCTCCCTGGGTACATGGGGTGCGGGGCTCACCTGGGGACGCTGGGAGGATTTTGCAGAGTGCTGTGTGAAGATGAGTCTTGTTTCCTTGTTGGGCAGGACGTTTAGAAACTCCCCTGCCTTCCTCATCCACGAGCCCCGGCCCACACACAAGTGACGCGGCCCGGCTGGTGTCCTGGCCTTGCACTCTTCCCTGTCCTCTCCCCAGTGTTACGGTGCCACCCACTCCTGAGGGAGAATTATCTCTTCTAAATGGTGGCCCTGATCATGAGCGAGATGACGTCAAGGAACAAGGTGCAGAGGAGAAGTCCCAGTAAAAGCCTTCAGTGAGAAAGGAGAGAAAATAGGGAGACCACGCACTGAAGGGCGTTCAGAGGTAGCGTCAGCGCCGCAGCAGCAGGGGTGATGCGAGGGACCCCAGGCTGTGGTAGGAGGGCCGCTAGGGCCCAGCCTGGGCAACATAGCAAAACCTGGCCTCGCTGGGCTGGGCATAGCTCAGTAGCAGAGCACCTGCTTTGCATGAGTGAGTCCAGGGCTGGATCCCAGCACCACCAAGAGCAGAAAGAAACAAAACCTACCAGGATTAGATGATGTCAGGCCAACATTCTAACACAGGCACCTCAAAAGCTGTCAGGTTTCTTTGGGCTTTGATAACCCTTTTTTTTTTTTTTTTTTTTTTTTTGTGGTACCAGAGATCAAACTCAGGACCTTGGGCTTGTGAAGCACGCGAGGTGCCACTGAGCTAAATCCCCAGCCCTTGATAACCCTTTTTAAGTGATTTTTTTTTTTTTTTTTGCTACTAGGTATTGAACACAGAGCCTTTGCACTGAGATACATCCCAACCCTTTTTAGAAGTATACTTGTTGTTTTGAGACAGGGTCTTGCTAAGTCAATAAATTGTCCTGCCTCAGCCTGCCTATGCAAGCGCAGGGGTGATACTTACATGCCACCAGGCCTGGCTTAATGATTGTCTTGAAGTTTGTCTCAGGGTCACCCGGACATGTACCCTGGCAGGGCCTGTGGTTTGGCACATCTGCAGTGCTGAGTGTTCTGATGCTGCTGTCTTACTTGCAGTACCGGAGCCCTTTGGAGGGGCCATCATCATTGGGCAGGAATCGATCACCTATCACAATGGTGACAAATACCTGGCCATCGCCCCTCCTATCATCAAGGTGAGCACCAGTCTTGTCCTGTTTTTTCCTTTCGTCTTTTCTTCCCTGACCTTTGCCTGCTCCTCCTCCCTCTCTCCCCGTTTGTCAGGTGGGGATACTGCCTGCTCCTGCAGAACACAGAGTTAGGCTGGCCTGGCTTTGCTGGCTGAGATCTTGTTTGCGAGGTACAAGAAATAGCAGTCAGAGTAGGTTTGTCTTTCCCAGCTACCGGGGCAACTTTAGTCATTTCTGGCAGAGTTTATTGAAACTAGTATCTCCAGGGCTCGAGTGTCTGTCGTACAGACTTCAGAAGCTAAGCCTCCTCATCTGCGCCATGGAGATTAAACTAAAAGCCTAACTGTGCTTGCTTTCGTGGGCGTGGAGCCTGTGGTGGGATCCATGCGAGTGCTGAGTGAGCATCCATGGAAACTGGTAGCAGTTGTGGCCCAGTGAATTCTTGCAGCTGCCGCTTGTTTCTTGTTTCTTGTTTCTTTGCTTCGTGGGGCTGGGGATGGAGCACAGGGCCTCACACATGCCAGGCAGGATACACCCCAGCCCCCTCCATGCACCTCTGCTTTCTGCAGAGTGACGTGGGGGTGAATATTTTAGGCACGCTGTTGAGCTCCTCAGAAAATGGTCCTCACAGTAAAAGCTGCCCATGTCCCTTCACGAGCAGCACCCTGACCCGCCCTCGAGGTGCAGGGAGCCCTCTAGGCTTGCTTTCTGGTTTAGAATGTGTCGCCTCTGGTGACTGTTCCCTCCCTCACGGCAGCAAAGCACCATTGTGTGTCACAACCGCGTGGACCCAAACGGCTCGCGGTACCTGCTGGGAGACATGGAGGGGCGGCTCTTCATGCTCCTGCTGGAGAAGGAGGAGCAGATGGATGGTGCCGTCACCCTCAAGGATCTGCGTGTGGAGCTCCTCGGAGAGGTGGGCTGCCGCTCGCCCACCGTGGGACTCCTGCTGGGAAGTGGGTTTCCTGCCCAGTTATCTGGGAGAGTCAGCCCCTGCAAGTCTCACACCAGTAGCTTGGTATTTCTGGGCGAGCCCTGAGCCTCATACTCACCTAGTGGCCTCTAGAGTCCCTGCTTTTGTGCAGATGGAAGCTGCTGGCTTGGAGTGAGCTTGGAGTTAGCTGTGAGCTCTTCTGAGTGAGTGGGGTGGGTGGAGAGCCACAGGCTTGCTCGCGGACCCTTCCTGAGTCCGGCTGCACCTGATCTCCACTCTCCACAGACGTCCATTGCCGAGTGCCTGACCTACCTGGACAACGGGGTGGTGTTTGTCGGGTCGCGCCTGGGAGACTCCCAGCTGGTGAAGGTGAGGCTGGACCCTGTGCCGCCATCCTGGTGCTCTGCCTCCCTCTTCCCAGACCAGCTTTCTCTGGGTGATCTCACACCTCACCCCTTGCCCCCAACTAGTCTGTTGTTTTCTCCTTCCAAGTTTCCTTCATGGCCATTTGCAATACATGACGTCCGTGTTCATTTCAGCGACCTGTTGCGTGTGTGCCCGTGTCTTGGTCATTTCCTGTCCCTTGGCTCCCTCTGCCCTCAGCTCTTTTTCTCAGCAGTTCTCCAGCTCCTGTGCTAGGTGCTGTGGCTTCCATGAGGAATGAGACCCAGCGCCCCCAGTCACAGCCTGATGTCATAGGTCCCTTGTAGACTAGGAGCGCTTTGGCGCTTATGTGTGTGCTGACATTTGATGATAACTGGAGCAGTCATTGCCTTTCTGAAGTCCATTCTCAGAGCCCCAGGTCGGAACCTGCACCCTAGTTAGTAGTAGTTACCATGGGACAACTGGGTTCCTTAGTCCCTTCTGGGAGCCCTTGGGGCACAAGAAGGACAGATCCAGCAGGAGCAAGGGCTTCTTTTGATCACAGTGTTCTCCCTCTGTCTTCTTCCCTCTCTCCCTCTCTTCCTCTCTGTCCCTCTTCAGTGGCAGTGGGGATTGAACCCAGGGTCTTTGGACTGACCTGTGCTCCCAACCCCCCCCCCTTTTTTTTTTTTGAGATAGGTTACCCTATGTAGCCCAAGCTGACCTCAAACTTCCATTTCTTATTCATCAGCCTCCTCGATGCTGGCATTATGTGTGTGCCACTATGTCCACTTAGTCCAAATTCTGACACCACCCCAGTAGAGATGTGGGGCACCGTGAGTTAAAGGTACTTCTTAGCCTCCTGTGATGTGAGGGTAGAGCCACAGATTTTCCCCTAGCACCCGGTTAGCATAGACCAGTATGATCTGGATGTGTTCTTTCTTACTAGGCCCTCCTTTTTTTTTTGAGATGGTCTCACTATGTAGTTGAGACTGACCGGAACTTACTATGTAGCCCAGGCTGGTCTTGAACTCACAGTGATCCTCCTGCCTCAGCCTCCCAAGTGCTGGGATTACAGGCGTGTGCCACCATGCCCGGACCCAACACTTTTTGAAATTTATTTTTTTATTGTTTTGACATAGGATCTCCCTAAGTTGCCCAGGATGGGCTTAAATTTGTGATCCTTCGGCGTCAGTCTCCCAGTGTGCTGGGATTCTGTCAGTACTGAAGATTGAACTCAGCACTGAGCTATAACCCCAGGCTTTTTATTTATTTATTTTTGGTACTGGGGATCAAACTCAAGTCCTTGTGCTTGTGAGGCAGGTGGGGGAACCACTGAGCCAAATCCCCGGCCCTCCCCAGCCTTTTTTTAAAAAAAATCTTAGTTGACAGAACATCTCGCTATGTTGCCCAGGCTAGCCTTGAATTTGAGATCCTCCTGCCTCAGCCTCCAGAGTAGTGGGACTACTGGCTTACACCATCCAGCATGCTTAGCCATCTCTGTAGGGGGGAGACTGTTGGGGCGCTACAGAACTGACATCAGTTTTTCTTCTTAGCTCAATGTTGACAGCAACGAGCAAGGCTCCTATGTGGTGGCCATGGAGACCTTCACCAACCTTGGGCCCATTGTGGACATGTGTGTGGTGGACCTGGAGAGGCAGGGGCAGGGGCAGGTAAGGGCCGCCTAGAGGCCTTGCTTGCGAATCCCACTGGTGCGAGGAGAGCGGCTGTCTCTCCACGCGCCTCTTACATGAGCACCCTGTTTGGGGTTCTCAGCCTTCTCACAAGCGAGGAACCTGGGGCTGGGAGAACGGGAAGGGTCTGACGAGGTCCCTCCATAGCTGCGTGGCCAGGGCGTCTCTTCCAGACCCAAGCTCCTCCTGGTGGATGGGCTTTCAGACCTGTCTGCCTGGCTGGGACACGGGAGGAGGTTTCTGCTTGAGGTAGGGGCTTGGGGCCACCTCCACCCCAGCTCGCAACGGGGCCCCGGCTGCTGGGCTGCCATGTGACTGCTGCTCTCTGGGGGCTTCTTAGACCCTTTCCTCTGCTTGCAGCTGGTCACTTGCTCCGGGGCTTTCAAGGAGGGGTCCCTGCGGATCATCCGGAATGGCATTGGGATCCATGAGCACGCCAGCATCGACCTGCCGGGCATCAAAGGTAGCCTGGGGGCGTGCGGCCCGCAGCCGCCTCCGGGTTGTGGAGGCTGGAAGGGACGGGTGGGGAGCGAGAGGTAACGACAGAGTGGTGTCCGAACCCAGACGTGTTTGACAGGAAAGGAGAACTTTTTTTTTTAAGTTAACTGGTACATGTTAGTCCTACAGAATAGTTATGTTCGTCATTGGGAACTTGTGCTCTTACATGACGTATCTTGGTTCTTATTTTTTCCCCATTCCCCTGGCCTCCTTTCACCCCTTTCACCGCTCCCTATTCCCAGAGTCTTTGTTTCCATTTTTCATTTTCTCCTATTTTTTCTTTTCCCTTCTTTTGGAAAGGAGAAAATTTAAGAATCCTGTTGATCAAAATGGGCATAGAAGCTGAGGAGGAAAAAGTTAAATTTTATGTTGTGGCCGGACATGGTGGCACATGCCTATAATCCCAGCACTTGGGAGGCTGAGGCAGGAGGATCACCATGAGTTTGAGGCCAGCTTGGGCTACACGTGAGATCAAAGCTAGCCTGTACTACATAGCGAGACCTGTCTCAAAAAAAAATTTTTTTTTAATGTTGTTTATATAAGAGCATTGTTAAGAGTCCTTAAAGCAAGAGGGACTGTGGATGTCACAGAGAGGTAGATGATAAATGTAACTTGGAACAAAAGTACCAGAACAGTTCTCTTAAATTTCAGGAGAATTGAAATTCAAAATAGATTAGAGCCAGGGTTTTAGCTCAGTGGTGCTGCTGCCTGCCTTGCAAGTGCAAGGTCCTGAGTTCGATCCCCAGTACCACAAAAAAAAAAAAAAAATCAAAATAGATTAGAAAAGACCAGTGTGGTAACAGATCTATAATCAGAGCATTCTGGGAGCCTGAGGCAGGAGGATTGTAAATTTAAGTCCTGCCTGGGAAATTTAGCAATTTAGCAAGATCTTCTCTCAAAAGTGAAAAAAAAAAAAAAAAAAAAAAAAAAAAAAAAAAAAGCTCAGAGAAAGGTTACATAGTAACTCTTACAATGTATAAACGGTAAGTCTAAAAGGACCACAGAATTGCCATTAAACACATTTGACACATTTAAGCCTCCCCCCCAGAGAAAGGTTACATAGTAACTCTTACAAGGTGTAAACAGCAAGCCTAAAAGGACCACAGAATTGCCATTAAACACATTTGACACATTTAAACCCCCCCCCTCAGAGAAAGGTTACATAGTAACTCTTACAATGTGTAAACAGCATTGCCATTAAACTCATCTGCCAAGCATGCCTGTAAATGGGCTAAATTCACTTGTTCTGGGCCGAAAGGATCAGTTTGAATCATAAAGCAAAACCAAGCCAGAGCTGCACACAGGAGGCACACATTCCAAACAGTAAGTGGAACATAAAAGGATGGCTAGGAAGAGCTGAGTAAGGAAACAGAGGTGTGTGAGGTGGGAGGGAGATCGGAGATGACCAGCTGCGAAGCTGACTCAGCAGGGTATGGCCTAAGGGGGAAATAAGTAGCTTTCAGGTAAACACAACTAACCTGCAGGGGAGGCAGAGGGGATCCTTAGGGCACCAAAGGCCGCACCAAAGCACGTTTATAGTGAGAAGGGTGCAACACCTGTACAAGGACTGAAAGTAGAGTGGTTAGATGCGAAAGACACGTCCACGTCTCCGGATGAGAGTTAAAATCCTCTCTCTTCCAACACTTTCGTCTTTAATGCATCTCAGTAGAAACAGTTACGGATTTTTCCCCCTTCATCTGAATAACTCCAGATGGAAAAGAAAAGGCTACACTGGCCCGGAAAACCTGAACTGAGATGGGACAGTCGTGCCTTTGAGCCTCATTCGCGGAAGTGTGTCTGGGCAGGGCTCACTCTTGCTTGTCTTCATCTCAGCCCTGTGAAGAGAGGTGCACCCCTATAGTCCCAGCTACTCAGAGGCTGAGGCAGGAGGGTTGCTCGAGTCTAGGAGTTCAAGGCTAGCCTGGGCAACATAGTGAAGTCCTGCCTCAAAAAAAATCTTTAAATTTAAGAAACGTATTTTATCAATAGCTGGGCATGTAGCTCAGTGGTGCTGCGCCTGTCTGGCAAGCTCACCAAGTCCTGAGTTTGATCTGAAATACAAAAAAAAAAAAACC